TGAACATCTTTAAAAATGCTTTCAACTAGAAACGCTGCGAGTGCCCGGCCAGGCGCGCCCACATCGATTCGCATCAATTTCTCATCTGATTGCATGCAACGTTATTAAATTTTAACTTTACGCCCGTTGAATAATTTCCAATCAAATAATTACGAGCCACCGAGTTTGCCCCACACACACACGCACACACACTCGCTGTGGTTGCCTGGCTGTGTGTGCGTGGCAATAAATCTTTGGGCCAACCTGCAGGTTATAAGCCCGCACTCGCCCCTCCGCCAGTCTGCCTTAATCGCCAGCACGCTTTAACTCAAGTAACGGCAAAGCAAATGCAATTGCAAAAATGAAAAAAAAATGGAAAATTGTGCCGGGCTGAGAATGGGGGGAAAAAAATGCTGCACTGATTTATGCGGCATGGCACAAAAAGTGCGAACTCCAAACTGAAGTTGGGAGTCGAGTTCGGGTTCGTTGCTCTCCCTCTCTCTCTCTCCCTCTCTCTCTCGCCGGCTGCAACAGTTACAGCCAGCAGGAGATCCGGGTTCCGGCCAAAAGGTAAACTCATAAAATTGAAAATACTTGCAGCTACCTGCATCGCCAAAGAACTGAGCAGAAATAAAAACCGAAAAGGGAAAAGTGCAAAAAGGCGATGCAGAACCTCCATCCGTTGCCGTAACCAGCCTTCATGGCATGCACCACAATTGAAATGCTATCGTTATTACCATTTCGATGGCCTCTGCACAGGGAATCGAAATGCTTTCCCCTTCTACAATTCTACAATTCTTTTTTTTTTTTTGAGAGGAAGTGCGGGCGTGGGCATTAGACTAGGGTTTGGCATTGTTTTTTGAAGCGTATTTTTAAGGGTATTACGCAGCCATTAGAGCGTTTGTCATTTAAAGTGAAGGAGTTGGAATTTAACTATAATATATATTAAATATTGAAATATTCAGTAATAATATAACTAAACTATTAATAAATAAAAAAAAACAGTTGTATTATTATTGAATATTTCAATATTCAATACATCTCTATTTGACAATATATATATATATATATATAGAAAAACTGATTAAATATATATTAAACAAAAATAAATAAAAATATATATGTATATTAAAATAAATCACTCGTTGAAATTTTAAATATTGACAGCTTTTTTTTTTGGCAGTTTTAAAATGAATAATAATATATAACATTTAATTAAAATTATCTGCCAGAATTTAATAACAATTTATTAATATTAATATATATATTTTTATATTTATTAATTCATATTTTTATTGATTTATGTATTTTTTTTATTATTATTGTTATTCATTTAATATAATTATATTAATACATTTATTTTTTATTAATTATTGAAATACTTCCTTTACATGTATGCCTAGCTATTCTATTTATTTTCTAAAATTCACATTCTTATTCAAATTCACAAACCCATATAGACTCTGTTTTTATAGGGCATTCCTGCTTCTGCTTGTTCGTATATTATTTAATTTTTGAACCCTTTGCTTAGTGCTGTGCACTTTATTGACACTCACCTCTTCAGGATTTCCGTATGCTGTGCAAATTAGCGTATCCTGATCATCGATTTCTCGCCTCTCGATTTCACAGCGTGGCGTAACTGCAGCAAGTCGAATGAAAGGAGAAAGGAGAAAAGCAAAACAAATAATCATTGAAATTTAGTAACTAAACATTAAATTGTCTGTCTCTTTTTCTATCTTTCTCTCTCTCCTTCCACTTACATTGAACATCGATAATAGTTTCGGCAATCCGATCTCCGTGCTTATTGCGCGCTCGGCACCTGTAGATGCCCGTATCGTTGCGCTTGATGGGATCGTTGATAATCAGCGTGTTGCCCATTGTCACAGTCTTGTTCGGATAGAGCCACTCATAGGACGGTTCTGAAAGAGTTGAAAAAAACGAAACAGCGCTGATTTAGCCAATTGCAGTTGAGAGTGTAGAACTGATTTGATTTACCTGGATTAGCCTGCGATTTGCATATGACACGTCCGGGTATATGATGCTCCTGCACATAGACAATGTTCTCCGAGACGCTGATGTCATTGGGTGCGTCTGTGGAAGAGGGTGGCGTTTGAGGAGTTTGTGTGATTGTGGCTGCTTGTCTGGCAAGTCATACTCACATTCAATGCTCAGGTAGGTGGTGCTGTTCACTGTGGGCCCCACCGCGTTCGAGGTCGAGATGCACATGTACTTGGCGTTATCCGACTCGATATCGAATTTCTTATTCGGAAAATTTGACATATTGAAGTGCTACAATCACGAGAGAGAAAAAATCGAACATGAGAATATGTCATTTACGTGAATTGGGGATGAATTCTCGTGGCTGAGAGTCGCGTCGCAGCTGTCATACGATGCGAGGCTAAACAATTCAAATTAATTGGCAATTTCATATAGACTGAGTTGCTCATATGAGACAAGTGGATATTAAACGTGTTTGATGTGGGATCAAAGTGGGGGAATATTTTCGTATTACTGCTGTAATAATTGCTTTGATTTGATGAGGTTTTGCTGAATTGCATAGAGACAGTTAAGAGGGATGAAGCTGTTATTGCTGTA